GCCCCTCCGCCTCCCCAGCGCTGGGCAGGGCGGATTAGAAAGCCTTGGCTCGGTCCGGGAGACCCGGGCTCAGGAGCCCGGCCCGAGGGTCAAGGTCACTCAGCGGGCGCCGGGAGGATCCCCAGAGACGCCGGGGCCCAGAGTCACCGTAGGCTCGGCGTGCGCTGGGGAAAATGAAGTGGGGCGGCTGGTCATCCCGGCCGTGACCAGGTTATTTCCCAGTGGCTTGGCCCAGGTGCCTCTTTCAGCCTTTGTCCCCTGGGATAGGAAGGAAGGCAGTGACATTCAGATCCAATTGGACACGCCAGGTCCCATCTTGTCTGGGTAGCCCTGCTTCTGATCCCCCGACCTAGGCTTTTGCCACCCCCTTGCCCAACCATTCCTGCGGTTCTACGTAATCAGGAGCACGCTTCCCAGCCTCTCCAAAGCTGCGCATCTTAATTCATCACAAGGTGGTTCACCACAGTGCCCTGAGCCTTGTGCTGGGCCCTTGCTATGCTGGACACAGTGGGCAGGTTCACAGACCAGGCAAGCCCCGACCCCAGGGAGCTCCTGGCCTAGATGGAGAGAGCCAGACTGAGAATCTACTGGGTCCTAGCAAAGCCCACTGGGGTCCTGCTGGCCAAGCGCACAATGGGCACTTGGTAAAGGCTAACCTTGGCTGGCCAGGTCTTCCCCCCTCCCCCACCCAGCAAGCCCACCAGACTGAGAGCTCCTCCCTGGCAGGCCATGTCCACAGTGCCCAGCCCAAGGTCAAGCCCCGAGGGGCCTTTGTGCCCACTAAAGGCCTTGCCCAGAGAGGGCATTAGCCAGAGCACGGAGTGGGAGTGAGGCCACTGACACTCCCTCCATCCCATGCTGCCCCTGCCTTCTTGGGGATAACTCTTCATCCCCCTTGCCACCAGGAGGCTTAGAGACACCTTGAAATACCCCATTTTGGGGTCCCTATCAGAACCACATCCCCACCCACCCTCTTCTGGCCCTAATGTAGCAAACTAAGGGGAAGAGCCAGGGTCTGGAACCTGACTGTGTGGATTCAAACCCTCACTCTTCCTCTTACTACTGTGTAAGAGGTGGGCAAGGCGGTTCATCCCACAGAGCCTCCATTTCTCCCTCCTGCAGCCTCAGTCCACCGCAATATGGCTCTGCTGCGTAACAGTGAGGATGAGTGCTGCTCATTAAGCGTCGACTAGGCATGCTACATATACAATCACTGTTCCTTACACAAAACCTGCAAGGGCAGTCCTACTGGCCTTATTTTATAATGAGGCAAAGTGACTTGCTTAAGGACATATAGCATGTGAGTGGCACTGCTGGGACCGACTCCATAGCCCTGGTTCTGCCCACTG